TAAAAAAGAGAACGTGCCGTTAAAATTACTATATTTTGGGAACAATATCAGAAATATGAAAAATTATAAACAAATTTAGAAATTTTTTAAATTAATTAAATTACTAAACATATGAATCAAGAATTTATCATTATTATTATTCACTTAATATGTCAACCGTACAAGTTAAGTATTCTATTGGTTTAATTTTTTATAGAAAAAAATTTCATAAATCCCTGCTTTAAATATTCAATTTAAAAAATATTAGACTAGTAGAATTCTTTAAAAAAATTAGTTCATAGATCAATACTATCTTTACTAAAAATTATAAATATATAGAGTTATATAAGAGATGTTTGTGACTTCAGTTTAGGGTTATGAAATGGATTACTAATGATGTTTTCTCTATCTTAACATTTGCTCAAATAGTCATTAGTTATCTTACTCCCTAAACGCATCTCCAATGCTTACCCCCAAATACCAAGATGCACCAAAAAATTGTGCAAAACACCTTCAATGTAATACCAAACTTTGCACCATTTTGGTGCAACACTATTCACTTTGCAACAAAATGTTGCAAAGTGTCTAAAGTCATTTTTACCCTTCATTTTCCTTTCCCAAATAAATTGATTAAGGGTATTTGTGTCATTTGTGTTATATATTTTTTAATACAATAAATTATTATTATTATTATTATTATTTGCATTTAAAATAAATTTTAAAAGTAAAAAATAATAATTAATAAATTAATTAAAAGAAGAAAAAAATTAAAATATAACAAACACGATTTATTAATGAAGTTAATCTTTACCATAATTTAACGTAATTATTTATTAAGTAATTATTTAATTATAAAATAATTAATAAATAATATTTCAAATAAATATATTATAAAGAATAAAAAAAGGAAGAAAATGGTTAAATACTATTTATTTGGTGTAATTTTTGGTATAATGGTTGTAGATGAATTTTAGTTTGGTACAAGATTTGATGTAAAATGGTGCAAAATTTAGCGCAGCATTGAAGATGGCATAATGTTCTCACATATCTTAAAATAGAAAATAAAATCACATATCCCCAAAAGTTGCACCAAATGAACAGTGTGTAATTATTTTATTCATTTTTTTTATTCTTTTAGCCATTTATATAGTTGAAAATTTATTTATTTATTTTACCACTACATAAATTACGACATATATAATTACGTTTCGTTTATTAAATTATTAAATTACTTAAAAAATTTTAAAAACGTAGTACAATTAATAAAAATACTACAACTAAGAAAATATTAAATCATGTTATCAAAAACAACGTAGTACATTTCAAATTCCGAGATTATGATACAACAAAGTCGACCTAGTATCGTAATTTAATTATCAAAATTCATATATTCATCTCACAAATGTTCAATTAATGCATTTTGAATTGCAATGTGGGCATCTTTATTCTTGATTTGTCTATGCTGAGCAATGGATTCTTGAAAACAGTGATTTTCTTTTTCACCCAACTTAACTCAACTTTTGGAGTAGGCACTTCCATCCAATCTTGAACTGGTGTATTAAGATCACGTTCGTCCTTGATTATCATGTTATGCATAATAATGCATGCAGTCATTATATCATGTAATATATGTTTGCCTCCCAAAAACGTGCTGGTCGTTTTACAATTGTGAATCTTGATTGTAGAACTCCAAATCTCGAAGTTCTAAAAAAAAGCAGTGAGGAAAGACAAAAGTTGAACAAAATCCAGAAAAGAAAATTAGCAACGATAGAGCATCAAGAGGAGACAAAAATATTAATGAAAGATTTAAATTTGATAACAGATTCGAACCTCCATGAGTTCTTCCAAAATGAACAAGCAAGAATATTGCAAAAGAGAGTTCAACAGGGTAAAGGATCCAAAAGTTCATTTGGTTTGTTTGGTAATTATTTTGATGAGATTGAAGGATCTGGAAGTGATCTATCAGATTACTAAGCTATTCACTTGTTTTATGTATCATTGAGTGATGTATGTTTGTGGCTGCTGTTGTAGTTTTGTTTTAATTTTAAATAATCATGTTTATTATATTTTAAAACTTTTTGAGTACTTTTATTTTAATTCATTCATTGATTATTATTGATTATATGGTTAAAGTTTAATAATAATAATAATAATAATAATAATAATAATAATAATTTATGTATAATGTAAAATGACACAAATACTCTTGATATCATTTGATGATAAATGAGAAAAGGGCAAAAAGGACTTTTACCAAAATTGGTGCAAAATGGAGCAAGTGAATTGTGTTGATCATCAAAATGGTGCAAAATTTGATGTTGGGTTGAAGTAACATTGCATCAAATATTTGATGTAAAATGATGAAAAATGATAACTTGGTTTTGTGATCAGAGTTGCTCCATTGCCCCGTTAGAAGGCATGTATATCCATTTTATAACCAACCTTTTTTATTGGCAAAATTAGGCCCCGTACGGTCCATTTATTAAAAAATTGATTAATGCACTTTTAATTTTTTAAAGTTTTCATCAACATTAGTTAACCGTAAATTTACTGTTACAAGAAAACCAAATAAGGTGAAAACTAATCTAATCCTACAGCACCTCACGATCCCTGCCATTCATTTGATTTTTTTTAAAGGAATGCGTGGATCGACATGAAAATGGGACACACAAATGAAGAGAGTGATTCTTTTTTCCTCTCGCTACTCATTACCATTCCATATTTTACTATTAATCATTCATGAATCAATTCCAACCAAACCTTAGACCTGTTAATTCTTTATGACGATTTCCGGGCAATATGCTATTGGTGTTTCTAGCCCATCATCATAGCATTCTTCATCATCATGGTATCCACTGTGAATTGATGAATAGGATGGGTTAAGGTGTTTTGAATTTAAGAAGATTGAGTTCTGATTTTTGTTTTCTTTTTTTTGGTCTAAATTTATAACTTAATCTTAAAAAAAAATAAATAAATAAAATTAGTTGTGGACCTTGTGGTTTTTATGTAATCGTTTCGAGATCTTGGGTGAAGACACCCATTGTTGCACTAGTATTTATTTACATCTTGAGTGTACAATTTGGATCTTATGTCTATAATTAAAAAGTTTTAAATTGCCGGCTTAATTTTTAAAGATTTGAATTTGATTTGAACTATCAGATAGGATTTCTTATTTGATTATGTTCTTCAATTTATGATTATGGATTTTGTTGAGATTATTGTGTATCATTTTGCTCATGAAGCTATCCTTCTCAAATTCAATTTCTTATTAGAGATTTTATTTGATTATTTTGGTTGTTTACCTTCATGTTAATGGAGATGTTGTATGTTTATTGCTACATGATGAATTTGAGGCTGAAATTGAATAACCAGTAGAGGAAGCTGTGTTGGTAGAGAGGAAGGAAAGTTCCTTATTCTTCATTTCACATGTCCCGTGGCAAAGGCTATTAGATTTTTCTTTATGGAGACAATTGTTACTAGAAGCTCACAAATGGTTGAATTACTATTTTTAATCTTTACTCAGAATATTTCGATATGATCAGTAATGAAGAGTCAACATCTTTTTTCCCTTACTTGTTAAATTTGTGTCTACCAATTGTACAAAAAATGTTAGATAGATTATGTGTCATAGTTGCATAGGTATTATAGGATTTCAGCTCATAGATTGTTGGTAGGGCAAAGAAGGAAGATGCATGCGTTGAACAAGCACAACATGTGAATGATTTTGAAAAATATTTGATATAGATGATTTAAGAAATGGTATTATTGGATTAACAATGATGAGCGTTTATACAATTTTTTCACATTTGCATCTTGGAAAACTCGATTGTATTTAAATTTTTGGATTATGATTATATTGTCCAAGTTGTTAATTCAAAAAATTTTAATTCATTCATCAGTTGTGAACTTATTAGATAATTTGGCTACATTTAAAATTGTGGGTTGTGATTTGTCACTTTTTTTTCTATCATTTAAAAAAAAAAAAATATGTCACTTTTTCATACACTTTTTTGAGTTTGTCATTTTTTTTTTCGAATTTTGTCACTTTTTAGTATTTGTAACTTTTTTGAATTTACCACAATTTTTAAGCTACTATCTTTTTGAATTTTTGTCATTTTTTTTGATTTTTTATCACTTTATGTAGTGTTTGTCACTTTTTTTCAATCAACTTCTTTGTTTTTAGAACTTTTTTATTGTAAGTTTGATTGCACGAAATTTTCCATGGAACTTGGAATTCGAATTCCAACTTTCACTTTTGGCCTGTTTGATTGACAAAATTTTTTAGGGAATTGATTTTCCATGAATTTCTAGGTACAACACCTTAAAGCGTGATTTTCCACCTTTTTTTCCTAGGGGATAGGTGGTTTTTGGTTTTCCACCTTTTTTTTTTTTTTGGCTTTTTTTATATTTTTTTTAATTGTTGGCAATGGGAACAAATTTTAGGAATAATTGTAAAAGAGGATATCCCTGAAATTGATAATTTCCACATAAAACAAAGTCAAACGAACATCAAAAAATACTTTTACTTCAACATTTTCCACGTGAAAAATTTATACAATCAAACACAATAATTTACAATTTCCATGAAAACAATTTCTAGGTAATTCAATTCCTTGGAATTCATTTTCTTTCCATGTAATTTTTCTACTTGTAATCAAACGCACCCTTAGTAACAAATATCATTTTTTAATAAAAATGATATTATATATCATTTTTTAATAAAAATGTGACACTGACCTTTTAAAAGTAACCATTTTTATTAAAACGAGTGATTTCATGACACTTTTAAATTTATAATTTACACAGTATTTTTTTGCCTTCAAATTTTTTTTCATATAATTATTCATAGCCCAAAAGAGAACAAGCGGCAAGGTTTTCATCGCCGGTAGTACGCTGAAAATTGGGGGTGAGGAAAGAAGGGTGACACGATTCATCTTCCACTTGGCACCAATTTATCTTGCGTTGCAGTGATTTCTGCTCAGCTTCTTCATCAACAAAATTGGCAGGTACTATCGGATTTTATTAGTGTAAAAGGGGGCTTCATATGTTTTAATTTCAACTCTAACTCTTTAAATTTATTTATTTTTCCAAAATTGTTGTTTCTTGATGGTAATCTTCCTCTATGAACAGTGATTTCTTCGCCAACATCTCTCTTGAATTTTTGATGCGGTTGTTTATGGCTTTCTACTTGCCTTAAAAAACTGGCTGCCCAAATCAAGTGTAATAGGTGAAATACCCAGGACCAAAATCCAGTGGGAGCGACCACAGGTGGCTCCGGCCCCGTCAATAGTTTGATTATTATTTTGGAAAAATTGGTTTGGTTTCCGCCGTAGTGTGCACATGATCTGAACCAAATATTACACCTTCTTTATTAGCTACACACTTTCGAGTGAATAGAACACTTGGATTGGCTGAAGGGAAAAAGTAAAAATAGGCTCAATCAACATTCTTGCTTCTTATTTAAATTGAGAATATTATTTATTAGCACGATAATTTTACTCGGGTTTTGCATAATACAGTTAATGGTATTGAAGATAACTTATGCCCAGCAAAATACTACCTGGGAAAAAAAATGTGTTTGCACATCTATGATTTTCCAACTTGAAGCCAACCTTTTGAGTTGCTCCAATTTTTTGAAGTAACGAAATAAGATGTTGCTTTGAATATCCCAGTTCTTCAAATGTCCTAAAAGAAACTGTGGCAGTTTATGTTGTCATGAAGTAAAGTAGTTCATAGAGTAAGACATAACAAACACGATGCTGCTTACAGGATTTGGGATGTGTATGTTAGGTGAGTTCTGGAGCAATTGGAGTGTCTAAGAAACTGTCTGGTCAATATGCAAACTTTAGGACATGTTATGTTTTGCAGATTGTAAACCGTATTGTAGCAAGTCTTGAAACCAACCACTTAGTCCATCCTCTAATACGACGTTCTTCAAGATCTAGATACCGTTATTAACATAGGCAGTTCAAATTTTATACTTCATGCATTTAATTTTCGAATTAGTATATATTTTATTGGATGCTTGAACTACCAATCTCATTACTTCAAATTAATGCACTCATCACTTGGATTTCATGTGGTAAGCAGTGAAATCTTGATGTCCGAATTTGTAAAGCTATGAATTTCCTTATTTATTCTTTCTTTTGCTAGTTAAGTATGTATATTTGACATTATTTAATCGAGGTGCAATCTTTGATTTTAACTCCAATATTAGCCTGATTTGTTGAATATCTGTACCATCAATATATACATTCCGAAGTCTGATGCTGGGGTAGTTTCATTTGCAGTAACAGAAGTTAATGGAAACCGCACAGAAAGCAGAGTCATCCCTAAATCACTCTGGAAGCTCAGATGCATCTGAATCAAACAGCTCAACTTATGTAGCGCGTGTCAAGAAGCTGCTATATCGCCCAATGCTGGTTGGAATCAAGGATGGACGGTTCTTTATAGGCTCATTCTATTGCATGGATAAGCAAGGTAACATAATTCTTCAAGATGCAGTAGAATATCGGAGCACTAGACGTTCTTCTCCCTCCCCAATGGAACACAGGGGTGTTGGTCTCATTTTGATTCCTTTTTCTTGTCGAACTTCTTGTCACGTGGATTGCGCCATTGAAGAACAGTTGTCTCTATTGTCACTTCAGGAGAAGAAATCGTAATTTGATGTGCACAATGTAATTGATCCACATTATTTGGGCTGTTTTTTAACTGCATTCTCTATGTAATGTTTTTATATTCCTTCTAGAATTGATTAGACAATTTAGGGCCTAGTTTTCCTGTAGAATGAATGTTTTTCTGACCTAAGAACTTGATACTTGCATATCTTGTATTTCCTTTTATTTAGTGGGTTTAAAAATAATCAATTTATGCGTTCAAGATAGAAATTACAACCTCCCCTCCACTCCCCTCCCCTGCCCTGCCCTCCGCTCTAGAGAGACCAATGATAATTTACTAATGTGACCTTACCCCATTTCTACAAAATATTTCTCTTGGTGATTGACCTGTGAGTAGCAAGAAATCTGTTAAAAGTTTTATTTGGGGTGTTTTAACTTAAATGGATCAGTTCTCAGTTGCATTGGAATTTTGTTGGATTACACAAATATGAAATATGCATCTGACTTTAATGTTCTTGTAAATGTTTCTTTTCCTTCGATCCTGTGTTCTCGGGTTTGTCGTGCACTCCTTGATTGTTTGATGTGTACTTTTGAGTTTTCATATCACTTCTAGAAAGTTTGTATGGTAGGTTTTTAACTTTTACAAGTGTGAGTTTTGTAGCAATTGTACGATAGCAAGCTACCCTTCTCTAGGGTAGTTTCAGTAAAAGTAAATATAAACAATAACTGCATTAGGAAATGTGCCAACCAGCCTGCCAAAGCAGTGATGGAGTTAGTCTCATTCAAATAAATCTCTTAAAAAGCTTACGAGTGCAATGAAAGATTCAGAATAATCGACCACCATTTTCAACAGAAATGAGAAAGAAGTAACTGATTACAAAAATCATGCAAGTACGTACTTTGAAAAAAATCAAGAAAAGCTGTTGAAAATAAGCTGATATATACTTCCATTTGCCAAACCAAAATACGGAAGACATCAAGATACCTTGGATTTTCTAAGCTTGTAAAGAATAGACACGAGCGGCAGCAAAAAGATTGTAGTGGTCACTTTCTGGGCTAGTCGATTTGGTTTGAGGGCGAGGTTTGCTTTTAAAGAAAAAAGGATTAATTACAAGTACAAGAAAAAGATGGGAAGAAGGAATTGATTGGTCAACTTAAAATTACATGATGAAGCCTTGGGGTGAAAAACTGTACTTTGGAGGTGACAAATTTGGATACTTGGATGCGGCTTCCAAGTTGTTAGTATCATTGAGTTTGTCGATCATTTGATTTAGGATTAGTCAGTTCTATATCTTGATAGGAGCAAGAAGGGGGGACAAAATTCAGTTAAGATACCATAAAAATAAGAAAATTTGGACGGGATTTAAAAAGTTTTAATACAAGCAAGAGGGATTCACAGATCTTCCAGACTTAGAAGTAGAGCACCTTATTTGAAACATTCCAGTGAAAAGTTTTATTGACACCTAATTCCTACGAGTAGACCTTCTTGTTGTCAGAATTCTTTATTCCTCTGTTCAAAAATGTTTAATGCATGTGAAATGTTCGAAACTTCAAACTGGAGGAGAGGGCCCAAAATTATCAGCTTGGGTTAAAAAGGCGTTTGGCAAGAAAAGGCGTTTCCAGGGGTCTTAATTTTCAGCAGGTGTATACACAAGAATTGGTATGGTGTTGGCTCAATTAGTATACAGATTTTCTTAAACTCCATAGTCACCAAAAGTAGTTCTTGTTTAATAATTATATAGCAGCTCAAAGAACGCGCAGAAGTCCAAAAAATAGCAAAAAAATTACAGTTGAGGACTTCAAGATTGAAGTTGAGTCTAATATGGATGTGTACAAGTACAAAGTATTCACATTCTAATCTTTAAACCATCGTGTGTGCTCAGCAACAGCCCAAAAATGGGAGATGAACAAGTTCATCTTGGCCACCCACTTACCAAAAGAATAGACAAGAATACGCACTCGTTCTAAAAAAGAGAAGAAGTTAAGATGAAAGCATGATCAACTCGAAACAGGACGGTTTTCAACACTGGCCTGGTGCCTGTATCCTGTACATTGCCCTCCTGGGAAACCAGTTGGAGAACAATCAAATGGGAAAAGGAGATCACCTACGAGGACCGTATCTGACAGTATAAGGTGTTTTTAGACAATCAGATAAGGTATTGAGCGGAAGACTACGTCAATTGGTATAGCGAAGTTCACCCCAGATGACATCCTGGATCCTGCATTATGGTTAAAAATCCTAATGCATACCAATTTTGATTAGAGGGATGGACCTGCATTACTGCTTGCATCAGCCGAAGATACCTGAACAAAGACATTAAGAAAAACTTGTAGTCCATAGTCAAGTCTATAGAGATTAAATAACAAAAGGACTAAAACAGTAGGAAACAAGAAGGCATAATCAGAACCTTACATCGTTGTAAGGTCCTTCTGTCTGTAGCCAATTTAGCAAGTACATGATAGGTCGTCGCCTGTCAAAATACCAGTAATTTGTTTAGCACATACTGATCCCCTCTCAGTTTCGGGAAGACAATGCCTGTGCCTACATATAGAACATAAAGTTACCAGAAAAATATGTCCTTGCCAGAAATTATCATTCTTTTCAATATGAATCTATCTAGCTAAACCTCCATTTGGAAAGAATTTATGAATTGTTTACTTTATAAATGATAGAAATTAGTGGTGGATAAGTAAATAGTACTTACTGTTGGGATATTACAATGATAATGTGCATTATTATATTTTCAAAACATATCATTTATATGAGCGAAATTGAAATATAATTCGACTCACCAAAATGAGTTTTGAGAAGGCGAAATGCTAATTATCGAAATCGAATACGTGATGACAGATTCAATCCTTTCCATTCTTCAAATAAAAGCCATTATATTCTGTAAATCAAACCTTACATGAAATCAAAAGAATGTTAGTCAATTTCTGAAATCAAATACTAAGTTAGAAAGAAATAAAAAAGAAGAGGATATGCAAGTGATGTGATTAGTCGAGACAAGTGTTTGATACCTTGTCCTTAAGATGAATTTTCCCCGCATCAATGCTAACGGTTTCTTGACAATCATCCCACAAGATACAACGATCACGTTAAGCCATAGGAGCACTCCAAATGTGTTACATCCCAATTTATACTAGTTAAAAGTCAATATTATTTATTCAAAGTCAAAAGTTAGACTAGTTAAAGTCAAATTCAAAGTCAATTATGGACTTAAATGGAATAAATTGTTTTATTGGGGCTTATTTTATATTTTAGATACTTGCGGATTTATAATGGACATCATTTAAACTAGAGGATTTATTTTACAAGTATGAAAAGTTTAATGACCAGATTTTACACAAAATATAAAAGGAAGGACTTGAATAGAAAATATGGGAGTTAATGGAGGACAAGTGTCATTGTAGAGGCTATTTCTTCATTTGAAATTTGTATACAGAGAGAGAGAGAGAGAGAGAGAGAGAGAGAGCTGGAAACGGGCTGAGTAGAGAGAAAAAAAACGAAAAGAATATGAAGAAAGCGAAAGAAAAGGAAAAAAGGGGGGAAGAGGGCTTGGTCTTCAATTTCCTCTCAATTTTTCAGGGTAAGCTTAAATTTTATTTATTGAAAGATGATATTTGATTTTAGGATTGATAGAAATTTCTCAAATTCGAGATTTTGGAAGAATTAAAGGTTAATGGTAGGTATTTAAGGTATTAAACAAGAATATATCAAAGAAATGTATATTTGGAAAATTTGAGTTGAAGGGGGGAAAATAAAAATATATATGAAATGGGTTTGTAAATTAGAGCCTAAATATTTATATCGATTGTTTGTATATGATATTAAACACATGATTTATGATGTATTACAATGAGATATGGAGTTGAGGTTGAATTTTGATATTTTAAATTAATTTTCGGGCAAAAATTAGTGCAGGGGTGCTATTTTTGAAATTCTGCCCAGAAAAGTGCTATATCTGTCAATGGTTTCAATGTCAGACTTCAATATGCAGAAATTGGTACCAGATTTCAATACTTTGGGATTTTAGTGCTATTTTTGTCAAACCTTTGTTTTCTCTAATTTTTATAAGTTTGAATGAAACTAAATGATAAATTTTGGAGTTGAGGTATTGGATTAAATCATGTATTGGGGTTGTGTGTGTATAAGATAGTGATTTTAAGAAAGTATTAAGTACTTTAATGGAGTTGATTGGTTGCTAATAATTCAAGAGAAAATAAGTTAGAGAAATAGAGATGCAAGAATAAATATAGAAGTTGAAGAATTGCACGGTAGATTTACATTAATTTAATTGTCGTGTTTTAATTTGAGTAATTATATCATTATTTCAGGTAGTGATGTGGGAGCCTGGAAATTCTCTTCAACTCAACCAAATATTTATTCATAGATCCGTGAGTGAAAAAATTTATATATTTTCAAAGGTAATTATGCTATTACATTACGTGTGATTATGCGAATTATTTGTTTAATTACATAATTAATATGGAAAGACTCTTTTACTATGATATATGTGGAATTTAAAATTTGGATATGGATTATTTGTGAGTTGGAATGTGAGACATATGTGATATTGAGATCGATCAGAAAAGTACTGGTGGTTATATATTTCTTCTAGTTCACAAAGGAGCCTTGACCGTGTTCTATACTACATTGGGGGGTCAATTGGGGATGAAGGGGTTGTGATCGTGTACATATAGTTCATTGAGGGGTCTTAGACGTGTTCTAGAATTGATTATCAGATGTTTTAGAGATCACTTTCGAACACGGAGGGAGCTAAAGGCCCGTGACGAAATTGCTTGGCCCGAAGGGCGAATTTCAGATTTTAGTCAGAGGGTACATTTTTTGTGGATCACATGTGAAGTGATAAGATGAGATGATGGTATAGATATCAATTGATGTCTATCTCTTGGATATTAGATGATATTTACAGAGTTATGAGAATGTCTCATTCTTTTGGTTATAAATTTTATGAGGCTATCGTGTGAATTACTAAATGATATGAACTTGATGTCTATGTATGAGAAAAATGTTTAAATGAAAAAGTATAATTATTTTCGAACTTCTCCATTCACCGAGTTATCAACTTATATATTTTTTCACGTTTTTCTTACCAGGAAGCAGTCGAGTTTGGGGAGCTTTGAAGAGCCTGTTGATTTAGGAATCATCGCCACATGACCATTTTAGATTATTTATGTTCATTGAGCTAAGTGTGTGTGTATATATATATATATATATATATATATTTGGGCCCATTGCATTATTAGTTTCATAAACATTTGATTTGGCGCATATTTTGTAGTAAGTCATAGTCAGCCTTGATGGTGGATCTGACATCCAGTCAGCATTCACCATCGGTGCACGTCATAGCTCGGGTCCACAAGGTGATTAGGGATGGGTCGTGTCAAAATGGCTTAGACCAATGAACTCGAATGGAATTCTCTCTTTAACAAACTATGAATTTTATACAAAGAAAACCATTTTTGATGAAGTGTTTTATGCAACATATAATGAATAGAATGATATGGAATAATAAATAAATGTCCAAGTTCTATATATTGAAGGTGAAGCAGTGTGGTTGGGGAGACACCCCACACCCAACATTTTTCATGAAATGCTGCAACCCAATCTGATGCTCGCCTACCATTGGATTGCCATTCGAGTGAGAAAAGTAGAAACCTTTTCGCTTGCATGGCGATTGCTTGTTGCTCAAGCAGTGGTCACATATGCTGAATTCCAATGTTTCCTTCAAATTTTGGACCATAATTTTTCATTCATTTGGAATTGGTTTTAAAACTTCAAATATATCACGATGATCTATTCGACGAGTAAAACAAGTTAGTGTATTTATTTTTATAATTTGACTATTAGATCAAGTCCGAAAATTTGGTCAAAGTCGACATAAAGTCATCGTCCAAGGTTTCTACTTAACCAAAATTCAATTTTTAAAACCAAATTCCAACACTTAAATGAGTCCATTGGAATGTTTGGTTGAAAGACCATTTATGAATCACTTATAAATTTTACTGGAAGGACGCTAAGACCTATAAGCACAGAGAAAGTGTCATCTCCCGATAGATACCAGGTGATTGGCAAAGAAATGAATCCATTAATATAATTATATAGGCCTCGTTTGGTAGTCATTTTTTTTTCTCTTTTTTTCAACCACACATTTTTTATTAAAATAATATTACATGTAAATCAAAAACTTTTCCTTATTTCTCAACCACACATTTCACATCCATTTACTATTTTAAAATACATTTTTACATAAAAATGTCTATCAAACATCCCCATAATATCACTATTATTTCTTAGAAGATCACTTGTAAACCATCACTCATATTTAAATAAAGGAAGGGACTATGACATGGATGCATGTAGAACATAATTTCACTTGCAATAACTTCAACAATAGTGTGAAGATTGCTTATATAAAAACACAATATTCATAGGCTCCATATCCTACTTCTTGATAAATAAATATCAAAGTAGACTCACAAATTTCAAAAGAAAAAGGAGTCTATTCATAAAAAAAACATAAGGTATTATAGACAAGATGGAGAGGAAACAAAAATTGTTTTGTCTCAATAATGACAAGTTCATATACTTAAATGAAGAGAGCAAAAACCAACAATGTGACCAAACATGTCCCAGATGAACCTGAACCTGAACCTGTCCCTTCGACTTTTACATTTTCATCCTCCGCTAGCACAGCTTCAAAAGTATCCTTGGGGATTTTGGTTAATTCAAGGTCTTTAATGAATACAATAGAAGGTGAAGTTCCCTGCAAATTACATGTAAAATTTTGAGTGTAAAAAAACTAGCCAATTTACAATAACCTAGCGATAGAACTTATACCACTAGTTATGAATATTAAAGCTAAGAAAATATGATAAGATAAAAAAAGTCACATAGGACTTAGCTAACTTCATCATCCTCGACATAGAAGAGGCATACTAGATGCTAATAATCTTCGGAAGGCCAGTCCTGTCTACAAGTCGAGCCTTGCTGGATTTTAATACTAATGAGATAGTCTTCAGGGTAAAAGATAAGTAATAGAGCTTCACCATGGAGAATCCAATCAAACAATCATCATACTTTGAGAATTGCCAACGAGTTGCTCACTGGAAGAGCTACAAAGGCAGCCAAATGAAGGTAGAATTGTTGATAGGGAGAGCAATGGACACTTAATGGTGTGGAGGATGGAAGATGAAAGAAGAAAGTACAATCAGTGCATAAAATACAAAGCTAAAAATTCCCTCTTCAAGCCACTATGAATAGCCAAAATAACAAATTCTAGCTAAAAATTATAAATTAAGCGCTTATTGGGAGGCAACCTAATTTCATTACCATTTTTTTTTTGTCTCTGCATCGCATTACATATAGACTTCTTTTATTACTAGTTTGCATTAGATTTATACACATTTGAATTTATAGGGTATCATCATCTGATTATGTTTTCGCTAAAGCCTTTAAATTTAATGTTGGTTATTTCGAGTGTTTGGACTAAGTAACATGTGATGTAGATTATTTGATTTTTAATATTTGATTTGATTGCCATATGCAGGAACATGACGTCGTGGAACACTCAAACCAACATAAACCAAGGGAAAAGAAACTAATTTTGTTTCCTTTTTTTTTTTTTTTTTTGTCTTCTACATCGCATTGCATGTAGACTTCTTTTATTATTAGTTTGCATTAGATTTATGCACGTTTGAATTTATAGGGTATCATCATCTGATCATGTTTTCGCTCAGGCCCTTAAATTTAATGTTGGTTGTTTCGAGTGTTTAGACTAAGTAACAAGTGATCTAGATTATTTGATTTTTAATATTTTATTTGATTGTCGTATGCAGGAACATGACGTCGTGGAACACTCAAACCAACATAGATCAAGGGAAAATCATGATGAAGAAGATTATTTGGACGTCACCCATAGTCCCACTCTCAACAGAAAAATTCAGGAAGTACCTTGGTCATTTTCTTCCCCATCCCCTTACATTTTTAATTATACTTCATGACATTGAGAACAATATCGATTTTAGGTTTGGGGGTAGGAAAAACTTCAAATTTTTGGTTTTCGTATTTTATTTTATTTTTATTTTTTGCAATTTTTGTGTGTGTGTTTATATTAAAAAAATGTTGTTTTTGTTTGTTAAGTTAAATAAAAAAAAAATTTGTTAAATTTTTTATTTTTATTAATTTGTTTATTTTTGGTTGTGTACTTGTGTGGGTTAGACAGTTTGGCTGACAATGATGATTAAATTTGAGATTTCGTGATGATTTATGAACTGTAAATATGTTGATTGATTGAAACTTAAACTAGCAAAAATTGATATTATATGCGCGCTAGAATTGGGTTTGACATTGTGATGAAATGAGTTGATTCATGCATTTGATAAATTGATTTAGCTAGGTATAGATGCTTCATAAACTATACTGAGTATTTCTCCTTAGACCAAATTTAGCACAATTTGGGTGTGATCTTACTGTTGTAAGAAGATGCGGATGTGAATGTAGATTTCTTGTGTGAAAATTTTTGCGTAAAGTGTCTTAGATTAGCAGGATAAAATTGGCGAAAGTCTTAAATTGAAGGTCTATTTGCTTGAATAAGTGTGTGATATGGGGTATTGCATTGATCAAGGCAGATATTTTGAAATTTTAAAAACTTCTCTTTGAAACCTTTATGAATCGATTAATTAAGCCTGCAAGGGTATTTTAAAACCTAGTGCCCTAAAGTCGTCGGCCTAAAACTCACTACAGGGGTCATGTAGAAAGTAATCAGAAATAAAGTTGTCCTAAAAAAATTTGTTCTCTTTGAAACCTTTTTGACTTAGGTTATTAAACCTGTAAGGGTAATTGAAAATTTGATATCCTAAAGTCATTTGATTTTGGAGTCATTGGCCTAAAATCTGCTACATGGGTCGTCTAGAAAGTTTAAGGGGGAGTGCAAAAAAAGTTGACACTAAATGTCTTATTAATTCTCAACACTTGGTTGAGGGAATTGGACTTTCGATGAAGGATAATTAGCCTAGTTAAATCCTGATGGTCGAAGCAATCAAATAATTGGCGAATCCTTATTCATTGATGTGTTGACTTGCAACTAGTGACGTCCATCTAAATTGGAGAGAGTGAGAATAGTAATGAAAAACTCAATCTTAGATCACACACTGAGAAAAGAGTAAAAAAGAAAAAGTTTGGATTGTGTAAATCTTACGAGAGATGAAATGATATATTTGATCATAGAGGGTCAGGAATTTGAACAATTTGTGAATTCATTAATGTTAATTTAGTTCTTCACACATTGACATCGATTTTGCATTGGAATAGTGGATATTGGTTTGGTATTATGACTTTGAAGTGGTTTATAAATTTAATACGACGATCTCAAATCTTGAGGCAAAAAATTAAACTGTCCAAACCAAAATATTTTTGTATGCTTGTGTGCTTGTTGTTAAAATATTTTTGTATGCTTGTGTGTTTATTTGAGGATTGAACAAATGTTTAAGTTTGGGGGTGTTTGATAAGTGTAATTTGGGCACTTATTTACATCACATTATTAAACTTTTATGTTGTCAAAAATTATTGAATTTTATTTAATTTGGTTTAATTTTTGTTTGTTTAAGTGTTTGACCCGTTTTGAAGCAATTGAGAAAGAAAATGATTAATTAGCTATTAAATAGATGTTGTGGACCAAATCTCACTTGAATAAAAGTTGGAGAATCAAAAGTGATGGAACAATGATGAGAAGGACTAAATTGCACTATTTTAAAAGAGAAGAGGGTCGAAGAAAAGTATAAAGTAATTGGACCTCAATTGGGATTCAAGAATATAATTGTATAATTGGTTGGATTTTTTTTTGGACTCCTACTCCCAAAGGGCTGCTGGCTGTATCTATAAATATTCATACAAATGCATGAGGAAAGAGAGTTCTTTTGTAAATAAAATAGGGCTGGCTAGTTCATTTTATAGAGATATGCACATCACACGACAGGGAGGAGGAGAGAAAACTGACACCAAAAATGGAGGGCTGCTTGGGCTGATTTTGATATATAAAAAACACACAAATTGGCAGCCAACAGGTGGGAGAAAAATATATAAATCCGGAAATCGAGAAAAAAAAGGGCAGTCATTACTTACTGAATATATATACACACCGGCAGATGCAAGAAAAAATAAAGAGGTCAGCTGTTTGGAAGAGGAAAGAGATACACAAATTGACGGCTGCTTTTGGAATATATATATATATATATTGGAATTAATCTCGTTTTCTCAATTTCTCAGTGATGTTATCTAAATTTTCTTTGTTTAATTCCAACATTATGTTAGGTTAAGTTTTCTCATGTATTAGATGAAGATGAAACCCATTATTATTTATTTTTAATTTAAAACACATGGCTTAGTTGAATTTTTGTAATTCTTGATTAATCTTGCATACTTAATTTTATTATTTAATTGCTTGATCACCAATTGAATGTATGATTGCTT